AATGGGTGTATCCAATGGTAAGACAGCAATCTTCGAAATTGCTCGTTTTATGGTGGAACCTTGCGTGCGAATAGTAGCTACTCTTACGAGACCATCTGCTCCAGTATGAACTTCCAGGATGCGTCCAAGAGGCCAATTCATGGGTGCGGTCATCTCGACTCGAACTAACACCAAATCGCCCACTTTGATGTTTATGGTTTGGTACTGTCATTTATGTCGAACTTGCAACCCTACTAAGTACTCTGCCCTCCAACGCGCCCAGAAATCTTGTTGCATCTGCTGCAGCTGTTTCCACCTCGATAGTCGATTGATGTTGGTTTCTAAAAGATTCGGTTCTGGACTCGCGATAAGTGCTTTACCTATCAGGAAGTGTCCAGGTGTCAACGCAGTTAGGTCGGTAGGATCATCAGATAACGCCGAAATCGGTCTTGAATTAAGTACCGCTTTCACTTGCTTGAGAACCGTGTAAAATTCCACGAATGTTAACGCTGCATCACCAATAGTTCGTTTTAAATGATTATTCATCTGCTTAATGCCGGCCTCGCAGAGGCCACCGAAATTCGGCGAGCCAGGAGGTATGAAATGCCAGGTAACGCCCTGCCTAGCGCAGAATTCCCCAGGAGCCTTCATCTGCTTATTATACGCATCTACATCAGCTTTCAATACTGCATTGGCTCCGACAAATGTTGTGGCACAATCGCTATTGATATCGCTAATATAGCCCCGTTTCCAGAAAAACCGGCGTAGCGCCGCAAGAAAGGCCTCGGTACTCATATCGCTCACTAGCTCTAGATGAAAAGCGCGGGTGCTAAAACATACGAAGAGTGCAACATAACCTTTATAGCGATGGTGACCTCTGCCTTTACTAGTACGAATCCCATAAGGACCGCCATACAGTGTACAGCGGTGCTCCAGCAAGCTACCCATAAGTTGATTCGTTCGTCTGGGTCGCTGTCGAAAGCACCGAACGCAGTTGTGAATTAATTTCTTAATAGCGGGGCGAGCACCAATAATCCAATACCGTCGCCGTATGTGATTAAGCGTCGCTTGTGTTCCGCCATGCAGGGTTGACTCATGCGCATGGGCTAGAATCAGCCGACAGAATGGGTTTTCCTTCGGAAGTATAATTGGGAATTTCTCCTCAAACAATAAAAACGAGTGGTTCAATCGCCCATTGACTCGTAGTATTTTCTCTTCATCGAGCATGGGATTAAGTTGACAAAGTGTGCTTTTCGCATGTATCGGCTTTTCTTTAAGTAAGGACGAAATTTCGTTAGAAAAATTAATACGTTGTACGTACCTTATCCAAAACTTCATGGCCTTGTTTCTTTCTTAGCTTATGCACCAGTATGTTATTTCGTGCGGTTTATTCATAACAACATCAAAAATACCGATGGCACCACGCTGCGACCGAAAGAAGTGTGTTAATGTGCGAATACTTGAGCAAGAATGCATAGTAAAATGGTGGCTCCTTCTTGAATGTGGTAGTATGGCATATTGGTTTCAGCTCGGGAACGGGATTGTGGTTTGCGGGTTGAGTCGGCCACTGCTGCTCATCTTGGTAAAGCCAGCTCGGTCCCATCCA